GGGGGGGGGGGGGGGGTAAGGCCATCGACAATAATTCAACCTTCTTCGAATTAGAAGAATATCAGTTCTTGTTCTATGAAAGAGAAGATTGGGAACTAGCATACTCACCATGGTATCTCCAATCCCAAGGCTCAGAATTCCGGCAAAAGGAGCTAGAGGCCGGTCATTGAATCCAGATGACATCCAGATAGGCAAGGCACATCCCAAAAGGAGTGAGAAATGGCTGCATAATGAGAGATGAACAAATTTTAAGCAAATGCTCCTTGCTAATATTAAACTATATGTTTTGTGACGTAAAAGACGAACATAAACACCTGACTATAAGAAGATCAGAGTCACGATGATCAGTGAAGGCATTCATAAACTGATGTACAAGGGGTCCCAGAGGCCAAATTCTCCATACCTGCCTAAAACAATATTGTTATCTAGACAACAAAACCAGCTTTAACAACATGATATTATAACTCAAATTGAAGCTATTCATCAGGATCATCTTATTATGTTTTCTAGGTGTTCACATGCTTCTGCAACAACCTAAAGAACTTGTAGTATTCCTTGCATATTCTCTTCAGTTTACTTTCCTGACTACCCTCACTAGTGCTTAAAACATTTTGTAAGATCGTGCGTGATTCTTTTTGTAGAACTCTAGACCTCGAATCACAAGAAGCTGGTTTTTAACCCATATTGATAATTAAATTACAATAAACAATCAAGAACATCAAAAGCAAGTTTCAAGAGGAATTTACTCGAATAATTTCCAGCAATAAGAAAACCCCCAAGGCTGCACCGAAAGCCAAATTGAGAAACAATGGCTGAAAACAGACAGAAAAGAAATTTTGCCTGTGTTAGCTAAAAACACAAACGAACAAGGTACAGTCAACAGATAGAAAACTTGGAAGCCCATATCACCTGAAAGACGAGTGCAGGCACAAACATTAAAACTGCCACCAGATGGTAGTATTTCCGAAGAAGAATTCGCTCAATCTTACTGTTCTTGGAGATTTTGTAAAACCGCAGTACCGATACAGATATAACAGCCACCCAGTATACACACAGGGAAAGCCGTTTGTGTGGTTCAGAGACGACAAACTTGAACACCCTGACAAAGAGGAAATAGTTATCATTAGGTATGTGATTAACCAACTATCAACTCTCTAATGATACCGTCTGCTCTTGTATCAGATGAAACGTATACAAGGGTCAAGATAAAAGTAGTTCATTGTAAAATTAAGCCACAAAGCCAAGAAATACCATAGAAAGGGATGAACAGGAAAATCTTGGACATACTGCATCCACAATGGAACAATCACCAATAAGATAAATGTTAGAGACCCATAAAATATTATAGATTGTCCACGCTCACGATGTCCTCTGACTTCAGAGTTTGTTGAGCTCATATAAAATTCCCATTTGCGAAGGATGGATTTGAACAACATTGGAGAGAGAAGGAGGCCTAAAAGCATTCCCTGCATGGAAGAAGAAACATTTATAGACTAAGCCATGGAAGAAGGAACGTAATATCATATATGCAAACACAGAAAAAAGGAAAACGGGGAGGGGGGTTATTAACGTAATTGTTTTTAAAAAGTGAAAGTTGTCAAGTATTTAATTATTAATCCTAAGAATACATCACACGATATTGAACTCAAAAACAAGTACAATATCTACAGCATTTTTCGTGTGATATTCAATCACTCTGCTTCTTGTCTTAGTGCATTAGCATAAGTGCTTTTAAATTTCACTACACAACTTAACAAGCGTACCTGAATAATAGTGCTTATCTCGCTCCTTTCCACCCCATATGCAATAGAATTTAACCCGTTTGATATGAGGTGCTTGCTAATCTGTTCAGACAAATTTTGGTGTTATAATATATATCATAGCATGTCACCAATAGAAAAGGTGGTCGCAGTAATGAATAGGCATTTTAGAAAAGGAAAAAAATAGATTTTTTTTCTTTCCACCATCAATGTAAATAAGTTTTCTCACATATGGCTCTTAATTGATAACAAGTGTCTCATAATCCCAACAAATAATCAATTTCATGGATACGCATCATCAGATAGCAATCATGGGATCCTATCTTGATCTACGAGCCACACATGGAACTTTTTCACACTGAGAGTGTATACAAAATTGACAAAGAAAAGTGAAGTAAGTAGTAACCTTTGCTAATGTAAATGCAAACATGTCTCCAAAATAAACAACAAATCCAGCTGTGACCAAAAGTGCCTCCCCTAAAACAGAAACAACATATATAACAAAGTCAAAGACATGCATTGCCTTAGTTACTGGATGGAATCAGAAGGTATAAAAACACATGGAAAAAAGGCAAGTTATAGAAAAATCATCCATGGCAGATAAGTCTTACGAGCAAAAAGAAAAAGAAACCTGAAGGACATACCGAATGAAGCACATGCTGGAAAAGTGTGAAGCACATGCTGAATAAATTTCACGGCTGCCAATCCATGACAGACAATCCACAACAAAGTCAATGCCAAGTACCATCCTGCAAGATCAATCATGATACAAGCCTCAGTTTTAGCAACTTCTCATTCAACTCAAGAAATAAAAAGACATGATCCATATTTACTCATTGCATCCAATTTACAAAAGCTGGAATCGTGAGAGTAAACTTAGTCCACAAACCCACCACTAGATGATTTTGCAGCAAATGATAGGTAGCACATTGCAGCGAACAAGGCTATGCAACTAATATTGAACTTTGTGTGCCAATGGCTATGAAAAGACACCGACTTGGTCTTGTTGGATTCATGGCAACAAATGAAGCAAAGAAAAACAAGCACACAGAGGCAACCGGTAGAAGTGGCCCAATATTGCAACCGTGTAAATTCAACCTCTGCAAAAGGAGATATGTCAAAGCAAAGAGGGTCAGGTAACAGAAGTGACTAATTTGAACCAGTGAACCACTGATATTAGATATGATCTTTTTTTAACATAATGAATTCATTCCAGTTGCTTACATGAAGAGCAAAATACCAGCAGCAAGATCAAGTCATACATTGCATGTTTTTTAATGAAGGTAAGACAAAGGTTTTCTAAAAATGATAAGTTGTCACGAAAGAAAAGTGAGCAATGTTGGATATGAAATATGGAGCCTAATTCTAGCTAAAACCAGAAAAATATTTTCTGGATACAACTTTGGATTCGACTATTTGGGTTATGGCAGTTGGGAAGACGATTTATCTTATATTAGATACTTGTTCGAATTCCAAGCTTTAAAAAGGCTTTATTTCAATAAGTTATATAATTATATTACGTCATTCAATAAACAATAATAAATGCTTAGCAACCTCGTGTATGCAAGCATTTTGTTCTACCAAGTAAATATTTTGTTTGGTTTTTTCATTCCCTACGATTGTACTGTGTGTATGTGGGTATTGACTCCAACAAGTAAAAGAGAGGATTTCATTTAGAAACTATGTACCTTCAACCCCTACTTCATGCTCTGACAAAGCTCTCGATAACTGTATAAGCTTCGAAACTGCAAGACCAGGAAGGGTAACGGCCCCCAACAGAATCCCTGAGGAAGCACCTGGCCTAATATGATAAATCCGAAATAAAATTTACAAAAAATAGGAACATTCAGCTAAGTAAGCATCAAATAAACCAAGCAATCTGAATTCCATCATAATAAGTATTACAAAATCGTTTGTTCTTCTTAAGCCAAGATAAAATATTTCCTCCCCTGTTAAAAAGGAGTGCTGGATCATTTCATATTTCCTCCCATGATCATCTAGCTTCTCAATGGCAAAACTAGGTCTTTCTAAATGCAAAATTAGTATGAGCTCTATTGCAACATTCTTCTCCAGCAGTTTAAAATATTGAACTTCTAGCAATTTCAAATTTTGAGGGTAATTCCTTTGAGGTTTTCCAATTGAGAAGATCATTCATGATTAATGTCAGAGAAAAACGCAACAACATAACAAGCATCTAATTCATCTGTCGATCAAATGGCCATTCGATTCATGAGAAATAAACCGCACATAAACCCTAATCAAACCGAACCACCATCAAGATCATGACCACTGATAAACCCTAACAAACCAATTGAATACAATTAGTGAAGTAATGGGATCAATCCAGTACCTGGTCTTAAAAGGGAAGTCGGAGCCGTACGATTCGACTGAGATCTCGACGAATAGGGCGAAAACAGCGAGAAGACAGAAAGACATGGATTCATAGATAAGGGATATGGGTGTAGAGTATTCAATGCTGGAAACGAACAGCAAAACCACAGCTCTCTCACCGTTCAACAGCGATGAAGCCATGGCCGTCGCCATTGTGTTAAAATTTGGGGCTTAATTCTTGATAAATTCAGAAATCAAATCAAATCAAAACAACCCAATTGCATGAGAGATTTACAGTTGCAAAGATGATAACTTAGAGAAAAGATTGTGCAGGTCGCAAGCTTCGACCATCAACAGCCTCGAGATGATTGGCGCGCACACGGGTTCTACCAACAAGTCGTTGGAAAAGTGGGTCAACCAACTCGTTTTGGGAATTTGCAATTTTATATCCAAGGACAAAAGAAGACATGGGAGTTTCTAGGGCTTCTAATTTTGTTCAAAATTGAATCTCGATTTGGGGGTTTTTGTCATACTTTCATATAGGGTCCGAATTACTCTTTTTAAAAGTGTATCAAAATAATTAAATTATAAAATAATTAATAATATAATTATAATTAACATTAACATTAAAAAAATTAAAATTGTAAAATCTTGCATCAGTTGAGGAGATGAATTAATGTTGTCTTGTAAAAGACTTGATACTTTTTATATCAGACGTATTTTAAAATCGTGAGTCCGATTATGAAAAGCGAACAACATCTGGTACGATGGATCTGAGATGTTATAAAAGTAGATAATTTGTTGGAGTCGGCTGTAATATGTTTTAGAGTTTTTAATCTAAATCCTCTGTTTTAAAAATACTATAGATGATATGTGAAAGAAGCATGTTGATTGGATTTTTGTAACATGATTGTAATTATATGGTCTTTGTCATTGACGTTATTCGTTTTCTTCACGTTGACAACTGAATAATTCAAGATGGCATCAAAGTACTCCATTTACCTCTTCTCCCACGCAACTGTGTGTTTACCAAACTAATTCCCACATTTGCGGGATAAATGGATAATCAAGCGAAAAGGATGGATAATTGGTGATGGACTTTTAATGTAACACCCTCAAATTTGGAAAGACGACTAATTTAAAATTTTCATTAATATAACAATTAAAGGGTAAATTTATTTTCTATTAATCAATACTTGAATTATCTTGAATATCAAATCTAAATTCAACATCAAAAAAATGAAAGTCAAGCCTTATATAAAGTCTAAGTTAAGATTTACCATTTGTTGTGACAAACACATAAGTAAGCCACAAGCTAATGTTATAGGAGCATAACTTATAGGTACCATTGACATCAACCAAATCCAGTTTCTAGTCAAATGAAGTAATAAACTTGTTCACTTTAAGTAACATTATATTGATCAATAGTCGGTGCCTGATTTCAAAAGTCCACACCTTAATGTTTACGAAGACCCCATTCCTAGCTACAGTACACTAAAACTTACATTATATTGATCGATGATCGGTGCCCAATTCTAAGAGCTCGCACCTTATTGTCTATGAAGACCCAATGCCTATTTCAAGTTACAATATGAGGTTGACATCCCCAAGCAAAATCGACTTTTATGCCTATGGATCCATTGCATTCTAGCCATAAAAATTACATGACTCCAGCCGAATGACTCACGCACTCAAAACGTGTATTATATTATAATTATGACATAACTGCATATAATTCCAAAATCTCAACATAGAGCAAATTAAACAGGACAAATGTCCACAAGACTCATTCAAGTCAAAACTGAGTCAATTGCTCAACAATTCCCTTGACTATAAAATAAAAGTCATCAAAAGGCATGAAACATATTTAACCAACGTTTATACAAATACATGCTCCAAGACATGATTAATTCAAAAAGATATCATTGATTGAGACAAATCCTTTTTTCCAATTAAAACCATACCATTTATGTTTATTTCTTATAATTGTTTTTTTAGTCAAATAGTACCACCATTTAAAAAAAATTGGATATGTCCCTGACCAAAGACAAATATCTTAGATGTCTAGATCGAATGAAAAACGTCACCACCATAAAACCTTGATTCTTCCAACGAGAAAAGGTCAAAAACCCAAGAAAATAAATCAAAAATTAAATATTTTTGTATGATGGGATTTGATCAAAGACTAAACCAATATTAGAAACGGTCAAATCCAAAGATAACAAAAGCTAATATCAACATAAACATTATTATTTATTGATATTAAAATCAGATCAAATTATGTATTGAAAATATAAAAAGTAATTTTTTATGTTGATTTATGTGGTAAGAAAATTAATGAGTAATTGTTCATTTAATCTTACTCTATAAACATTAGAATATCTACAGTGACTTTAAAAAACCTTAAAAAGATTTTTATCGTCATATAATGTCACGTCAACAAAAAAGAAAGAATTTATAAAAAACTACATTATTTTTTTTAGGTCCCATATGATTTTCAACAACTTTTATTTTCTTTTTTATAAGATCATCTCCAATTTTTACTTAAAAAATACCCAATTTATGGATCCATTAACATTAAAAAGATATCAACTTCAACCACACACTAAAATAACGTTCAAAAACAAAAAATTATATTTAAAATTGATAATTATTAGAGTAGAGTTCACTTTTGGCCCCCTAATATTTATCATTTTCAACGGTTTTCGTCCATCAACTTTATTTTAACAGATTTGTTCCGCATGTTTGTTGATTCCTAATGGATTCCGTCCCTCCTTCTACCAATCGTTAACTTTTTTTTGTTAAATCCAATTTAATGAGGGGTATTTTAGTCATTTTACTTGTTTTCTTAATTTTCTTGTTTTTAAAAAACTATCAAACTTAAGGGACTTGTTACGTAAAAGGTTGAGTTCCGATGAAAAGCGTAATAAAAGATCTTCACACTTTGAATCAATCCTAATTGAATGTTAATACTAATGAGGTGCACCGAGATGCACCGGATCAATCATTGTATCAAACGCGATTCATGAGTGATATAAGCTAAAGATTGTGTGAGAAGGAGAGTTAAGATGAGAAGCTTAAGAAGGCATCTAGACCTTTGATCACTTTTAATCTCAAACTCACTTATGAATCACGTTCGATACGGGGATTGATCTGGTGCATCTCGGTGCATCTCTTCCTAATATACATCCAATGGGTGAGTATTTTTTCTTACGTTTCTCACCGGAACCCAACTATATATAGGAGCACATTCTTTTGTTAACCAAAACATTAGTGTTAACTTCGTTAACTTAAATGGACCAAATATTGTTCATAAGTGAATATTACTCTCTTATGGTGTTCATAAGTGCAACATTCTCCACCAGATATTGTTCATTCAATCATGATATCGTAATCAGGTAATCGATTTTCTTCCCTAATTCAACTCCAGATAACATTTTATTACTATATCCCTGTTCACACATAAACAATATCCTTGTTCATCAAAGGGCCTTTGACCTAGCGGTATCGTAACCCTTGGCTTTTTAGGAGGTTAGGGGTTCAAACATCATCATAGGTGAGGAGGGTGTGTGAGTTTATTTGTTGCATTTGTCATATATAAATATTATATTCTTAAAAAAAAATATCCATGACTCATGTTGACTGCCAAATATTTAGTTATATACAAGGTCCCCTTCTTTTGTTAACTAAGAGATTAGTGTTAATTTTATTAAGTAATCTCAACTCTATATATATATATATATGGTGGAGGTTCAAACGAGAACCCCTGTGATTTACGAGAATGCGAGAACAACCCAATAACCTCAAACTTTTTTAATTAATAAATTAACT